ATATATAATTATAAATATAATTAATATTTTAATGAAAATTTTTTTTCAAGATTAAAAATAAGTAATATAATAATAGGATTTATAACAGACTATATTGAATTGTATTATCATATAATTATTAGAATGACATTTAATTTTTTTATTATGCAATCAATTTACCTCCTGTGCTAGATTTGTATATGAACGTTTTTGATCTGGATGAAGAGTGGCCCACCATTCTCCAAGTACTCTTGTAACAGCTCGATTTTCTAAATGTGGGAAACCAGATCGCACTGAACCACGGTGTCGTTTACAAAAAATAAGAAAAGCATTCATTGGTCTCCTTGCATGATGAGCTGGTTCTCTTAATTCTCGTGATTCCTAATTATTGATATAATTTTATAAATTCATTATTTCAATATATATTTATAAATAATTAAATAAAATAACATAATTAAAATAAAATAAAAAATAAAAATAATTATCTTCTATTTTTGTTAAAATTTCATACAAAAATATTTTTGTTAATATCTTAAATAATATAAAATATTTAATATAAAAATTTAAATTAAAATAATTAAATTTTTCAAATTAAAGAATCTGAAGAAACATTAGAACAAAAAAATATTTAAAAATAAGTGAAAAGAATCTCATCTTTTAAATTTTTAATATTTTTAAATATTTCATAATTATTTATACAAATTAATAGATGTATTAATTTTTATTAAGTTTTTTATTTATTTGTTAATAGATATATTTTTTTCTTTTACATCATAACAATATTCAGTTGTGTTACAGCATTTCTGAAGCCTTAAAATCACATACCTTGATAGTTTGGTAAGGTCACATATGCTTATCTATATATTCATAGTTAATAGTAATATATTAAAACCAAATACTTATAGCAGAAGTAATTTTAAAAATTATAAACATATGTTGTTAATTTAATAAATTAATAATATATGACTTTTGCTGATATTGATTAAATATATATTTTTTAACAAATTATTTAAAACAAAAATTATTAATATGATATATATTCTAAATTCTATTTTGTTTAAAAGAAATGTATTAAAAAATTAATCAATCATAAATATGAAAACAGAAAATAAAAATATTTAATTTTTATTTATTATATGTGAAAGAAATGTTTTAATTTTATAAAAATAATATATAACACAATTTACATGTATTATATTAACATAATTAATATAATTAAATAAAGTAGTTATAATATTTATTATTATCTTTACTTATTTTAGTTTCTATTTTCCTCCATTCTTAATTAAATGTTATACAAGTAACAAAAAAACGTAAATGTGAATATGACATGAATATCTCATTTATATACGCGCATATAAATGAAAAATAAAAGTAAATATATATTAATTTCAATTAGAAATAATCTTTTCGTTATTCATTCTTATCTTTTCAATATTTTTACCTTCATGATAAGTCAACTTTGTTACGAAATAACAGTGAAGTAAATGTATTAATTTATATTTTTTACGATATTATAAAATCAAACATTTGAATTGAAGTATTGTCTATAAATCATGAAAAGAATGCCGTTTAATTGCTATGATTTACAAAAAAATGATTTTTCCAAAAAAAGATTTCGTTTCGTGATCCAAAAAAAAAAATCACGTCTATTTATGGTACAACGAAGAGAACGATCTGCAAATGCTTGAATTGGTAGAATTCAATGTCAAAAGAATGAAACATTCGTCACATTCCAGAAGTATTTTTTTTGTAATCATATTAATAATATACTATATAAATTAATAATAAGAATAGAAGAAGATCTCATTAAAAAAGAAATATAGATGTTCATCATTATAACAGGCATATGTTAATTTTCGTATTCTGTCTAATTACTTCGGCTGCACAAAGTCCAAAATATTTTCAGTAAATGTCGCAATTCTTTATTAATTTCAATTTATCTTAAGTTTGAATCATGGACAGAAAAAAGGCAAGAAAAAAATTATAAAGAAAATATCATAAAAATTGCTAGAACATGTTGCTTGTCATACGTCGCAGCTTTCGTTAATGCTATTGTACGTTGATTGTCTTGATCGTATTATTCCCATCAAATTTATAGAAATTTTTAATGTTTTGAAACAAATTTTCTAAGATATTTCACGTGAACTAAATGTTGAAGGGAATCATGTATTGCGTATTTTTTTGCAAAATTTCATGATACCTTTTTGATCATCTACTGACAGCTGCTGGTACAAATGTAAATACTGCATATAGTAATCTATACGTCTTTCTATGCACCGATGATCTGGCAAATATTTGAATGAACTAAAATGTCTCTTTAAAAAATTCCTATTCACACAAAATGATAGTATGTTATTGTATTATTCATTCCTGCGTCCCTCTTACTGTCAAATATTTATTAATCCAGAACTAAAGTCAAGACGTTGTTGTTCCTTTTAGTATGAACAGTCTCAAGACATTGTATAAATCCCATTTTTTGACTCAAAATCATCGCGAAAAAATTACACGTTCGATTATTTAAAACAATAAATTTATCCCTCAACAATATTACAAATTCACCATTGACACAAACGTATCAAAAAGCTCTTCGCAATTCGAGAAAAATACAATGTATTTCTCCCTACTCACCTTGCGTTGTTGCTCGTTGGCAGCCATTTCTGATTTCACTTGACAATTCACTCAGCGGCGCATAATAAAGATAAAGCTTCGGCACTGAGTGCCCTCTCTTTTCCTCTATATCTTGCTTTCTTTCTCTGGTTCTTTCCCGTGCACGAATTAACCTCTCCTTCTTATACTATTTCTATCTTTTTCTTTCTTGAATACCTTCGTCTACATTTGTTTCAAGTAACCCACGTGAAAGAAAATTTTCGCAAATAGTTTTTATATTTTAATACATTTTAGTAGATTTATTAATAATTTCTAAAAACATTTTAGATTACATTTTACTCAAATCACATGAATACTATTATTTCAGCAATTTGTGTTTTCAACTAAATGTTTGTCGTACAAACGTCACGAATCTCGTGCAAACGTCACTATTAAAACTAGTCACGCGCTTATACTTGTTTCAAAATTTGAATTAACTTGAATGAATTAATAGATTTTCAATCGTTTCAATTTTCACTATAATTCTAATTATATTTGAATTTTAATTATATTAAATATTAAATTTTTGTTTTGTTTCATATAAATTTGCACATACAATTAAAAAAGCAATACATTAATGTTGTGGATACATATTTTCAATATCGTGCGCATTGTGTTCAAAAAAGGAAAATGTTCGCGCGTATAAATATTTTACAGTGTTAACAATTGAACTACAATAAAGTTACTAAAAGGAATTTTCTTTTTTTCTCTTAAAATTTCTTCTTTTGGAAAAGGAAATTTCTTAAAAAAAAAAGAATTAAAATTATATACTATATTTAAATTAATAAAAAATAAAAATATTAATTTTTGTTTATAAATTAAGTAAAATGAAAGTATATGATATATAATAAAAATATTTTTCAAATTATAATAAATATATTGAAAAGATGATTGCCAATGGAATATAATAAAAGATTAAAATAACTATTTAACATTATACCGTACACATAATCTATAGAATATAAGATAAGTTATGCTTGACTTGTACATTTAATGTATGTTTACTATAATATCTCTTAATAATTGCAAACATTATTTATGTATTTATTATGTAAAATAATGCTATAATATTTTGATTTTATATTATTTGATTTTGATTTTAAAAGTGAAATTAATTTAAAAAAAATATGTGATATACGTTATTTTTTATCATAAATGTGAAATATGAATTGAAATAAGTAAAAATATAAAAAATATTTTTGAAATATTTATATTTGTTTAATAATTTAATAAATCATATCATATATATTAATTACTTTAATTATTTATTTTGTTAAAAAGTAAAAAAATTAAATTAAACATTATGGAGAAATCACAGAAAATGCCAAAAGTTGCAAAGGTATGTCATTTTTATATTTTATTAATTATATATTGTTATCATTTATCATATAATCTGATAGTTGATTAAAATAATTTTTTATATAAGATTATATAAATTTTATTTTATTTTAGGTTAAAAATAAAGCACCTGCTGAAATTCAAATAACAGCAGAACAACTTTTACGAGAAGCTAAAGAAAGGGATTTAGAAATTTTACCACCGGTAAAAATTTTTAAATTTCAAATATTTTTAATATAATATGTAATTTAATATAATATTAATATTTTAATATTTAAGTTAAAAGATATATAATAAATATTTACATGCTTTTTAGCCACCAAAACAAAAGATCTCTGATCCTCATGAATTAGCTGATTATCAGCACAGAAAACGTAAAGCTTTTGAAGATAATATTCGTAAAAATCGTATGGTTATCTCAAATTGGATAAAATATGCTCAATGGGAAGAGAGTCAAAAACAAATACAACGGGCACGGTATGAAATATAAAATTATCTTTATTTCTTAGTTTAAAATGATCTTATATTGATTCATAGTGTTTATACATTATGATTATGTATTTATAATTAATATATTATATTTCTAATAATAAAAAATGCTCTAAATTTTATATTAACAATAAAATATTTGAAAACGTAATGTAATGTTACTTTCAAAAATGTTATAAAAAAAAAAGGATAAATTGAACTTATTTTAAAAGTTTTTGTAATGAAGTTATAAATTTCAGATCTATATATGAACGTGCTTTAGATGTTGATCATAGAAATATTACATTATGGCTCAAATATACAGAAATGGAAATGCGAAATCGTCAGGTAAATCATGCTAGAAATTTGTGGGATCGTGCTGTTACTATATTACCAAGAGCAAATCAATTTTGGTATAAATATACTTATATGGAAGAAATGTTAGAAAATATTGCAGGTAAATTTCTTTCTTATATTTTTAATTTAAAATAATATATTATAAAAACCTAATAATTGAAAAATTTATTTAGGAGCACGTCAAGTATTTGAAAGATGGATGGAATGGGAACCTGATGAACAAGCATGGCAAACTTATATTAAATTTGAATTAAGATATAAAGAAATACAAAGAGCTAGACAAATTTACGAACGATTTGTAATGGTTCATCCCGAAGTTAAGCATTGGATAAAATATGCTCGATTTGAAGAATCTCATGGTTTTATTAATGGTGCTCGCAATGTTTATGAACGTGCTATTGATTTTTATGGTGACGAAAATTTAGATGAAAGATTATTTATTGCATTTGCAAAGTTTGAAGAAGGGCAAAGAGAAGTAAAGAGATTATATTAAGATTATTTTATTATAATATTCAATGATAATATTTAATGCATCTCATATTATATATGTATTTTTGTTATAGCATGATCGAGCTAGAGTAATTTATAAATATGCATTAGATCATATCCCAAAAGAAAAAACACAAGAAATTTATAAAGCATATACAATACATGAAAAGAAATATGGAGATCGTTCAGGTATTTTAATATATATATATTTATTATATATATATATACATATATATTTTTATTTATAGGTATTGAAGATGTAATAGTAAGTAAACGAAAATATCAGTATGAGCAAGAAGTAAAAGAAAATCCTTCTAATTATGATGCCTGGTTTGATTATTTGAGATTAGTAGAATCCGAAGGAAATATAGATATTATTAGAGAAACTTATGAACGTGCAGTAGCTAATGTACCTCCAACTAAAGTAAGAGATTACTATCGAAAATAATATTTTAAATAAATATGTTATTATAAATATATCTTATTTTAGGAAAAACAATTTTGGAGAAGATACATTTATCTTTGGATAAATTATGCTCTTTTTGAAGAACTTGATACTGAAGATATAGAAAGATGTAGACAAGTCTATAGGTAATTAATATTTTTTTATTAAAATTGATAACTTGATTAATGTATTTATATTTTTTTCAGAGCTTGTTTAGAATTAATTCCTCACAAACATTTTACTTTTTCTAAAATTTGGTTATATTATGCTAATTTTGAAATAAGACAAAAAAATTTAATAGCAGCTAGAAAAACATTAGTAAGTAATAATTTAAAACATTTATGAAACTTAATAATTTCTTTAAAAAAATAATAATAATTTTATTTTAATTGATTATAGGGTATGGCATTAGGTATTTGTCCCAGAGATAAATTATATCGTGGATATATTGATTTAGAAATACAATTGAGAGAATTTGATAGATGTAGAATTTTATATGAAAAATTTCTTGAATTTGGACCAGAGAATTGCACTACATGGATGAAAGTATACAAATTTAAATAATTTATTATTTATTATAATTTTACAAACATTATATGCAATAGATAATTAAAAATTATTTATTAATATTTTATTCAGTTTGCAGAATTAGAAACACTCTTAGGTGATGTGGAACGAGCACGAGCTATTTACGAATTAGCTATATCACAATCAAGGTTAATATTTAAAAAATTATTTAAAAATCATTTTTTTTAATAATGATTTTTTAAATCATTTTTTTTAAATCATTTTTAATAAATTCCTATTATATTGTATTATATTATTATTTTAATTTTGTAGATTGGATATGCCAGAACTTCTATGGAAATCATATATTGATTTTGAAATATCACAAGATGAAACAGAAAATGCAAGACAATTATTTGAAAGATTATTAGAACGTACACTTCATGTTAAAGTAAGTTTATTACAATATAAAATGGATTTTATAAAAATTTATTTTATATTATGAAGTATAAATTATATTTAGGTATGGATAGCATATGCTAAATTTGAATTAGCAAATTCAACAAGTGAGGATGATTTTGATAATGTTGTATTGGCAAGAAGAATCTTTGAACGTGGAAATGATGCTCTTAGACAGAATGGTGATAAAGAAAGCAGAGCATTACTTTTAGAAGCATGGAGAGATTTTGAAAATGAAAAAGGAGATGATGAAACTCGAGCTAAAATTATGGAAAAAATGCCTCGACGAATTAAACGTAGAAGACGTATCGTTGGAGAAGATGGAGTAAAAAAATTTATTATATTATTTAAAAATTATTTTAAAAAATATTTTTTTAAAATATTTGAAATTTTTATTTCTAGAGCGATGATGGTTGGGAAGAAGTATTTGATTTCGTATTTCCAGAAGACGAATCACAGAGACCTAATCTTAAATTTTTGGCATCTGCTAAGGCTTGGATAAAAAATAAAGAAATTAGTGAAAAAAATGAAAATAATCAATTAGATTCTAATAGTTAAAAAATTATTTTCGTAAAAAAATTTTTTTTTGTAAATAAAAAATAAATTTTTGTCTTTTAATATGTAAATAAAGTAATGAGTAAATGAAAATATAAACAAAGATTGATTAATAAATTAACCAAGTTAATTTATTAAATAGTTAATAAGTTAAATAAATAATAAATAGTTAAATAGTTAAAAAATTGAGATTTAACTTTTTTAATAATTTTAAAATAAAATAAACAACTTTATTTTAAAATGAAAATGTTGTTTAAAGAAAAAAAATATAGTATTCAGTAACCCTTTTATTATATATTTTTAATATTTTTAATGTACAGTTTTATATTTCACAATGAAAATGTAAATTTATAAACATACATTACATACATTAATCCCAGATGTTGTTTATTCAACCACTTATGCAAATATAGTATATAAGTGAAAAGTATAAAATATTCTTTGGCAGTCATGCGTTTCTTACCATAACAGACTAATTTATTAAAAAATTTCGATGTAGATAGTAAACAAAATTAATTCTTTTCCAGCTTATACTATAAACAAACAATCAAAAAAATTTTGTAAAGAAGCAAGTAATTCTAGTTATAAAAACGCAGATCTGCTATAAGTTTTAAATGCCTCTGAAGGCAAAATTATATTAAGTTATTATAAAAAAAAAGTTTATATTATTTTTTCAAATTATATCGCTTTGTACTTGTTACAATATAGTGAACTGTAATATCAGTTTGATATAATTATTAATCCCTTTAATTTATTCGTTATTCGTATTATTTATTTGTCTTTGTAGAATATTTTTTTTTTTCATCACTTTCAAAACCAGAATCTAAATCATCACTTAAACATTTTTTTAATGTATAACTTTTAAAATGTTGTTGTATATCTCTGTGTTCAATTGATAATTTTTTAATGCAACTTATTAATTGTTGAAAAAAATTAGGATAACTATCATATCCAGGAAACATATTTACATCTATAATTGCATATTTTCCAGTATGATTTTCAATAACAACATCTACACCAACCAAAAGTAATCCAAAAAGATCTGTAACTCTTTTGACAATTTTTTTTAATATTTCATATTTTGGTTTTACTGTCATTGGAATGTCTTCTTCCGTAAGAATTGACCATTTAGATTTGGAACCGCTCTTACATATATCATGAGAACTAAAAAATATTGTATTTAATGCAGTACAGTCTTTTTCATAAAAATTTTTGAAACTAGGTCTTTCAACTACGTGAAAATTTTCTCCAACTATATATATTTTATAAAGGATTGCATTATGGTTGACAAATTCTTGGGCTACACAAGGAGGCTGACAATCTTTTACACCCTGTTCATTAAAAATTACCATCATCTATAAAAAAATATTTACTATTAATTTTTATAAAACATATTTTTTAATATATGAATATATTTGATAAAATATAAATACCTTATGTGCATCATTTGAACCCTGAGCGACAAGTGGTTTACAAAGAAATGGAAATTTAATACCTGCCATTTTTAACAATGATATATTTTCAATAGTATTTTTACTTTTAATTTCTATAAACCTTGGAGTAAATACTTCTAAAAAACAAATATACAGGTTAAAATTTATAATTTAAATTTAATTTTTTTTATCAAATTATTTGTCAATAAAATTATATTTTAAATTATAAATTTTCATTTACCATTGAGTTGTAACTGTTCTTGCAAGATTTCATAAGATTTATAACGATTTATTAAAATACTAATATTATCCAAAGGATCAATAACTATTATTTCAGGATGTTGGCAGAAGTATTCTTTCATTTTTGAAATAATTGCTTTGGCCTAAAAAATATAATTATATACAATTATTTATAATTAATTACAGTGTTTTTTATAATAAATGTAAAAAAAATTTGTTCATACATTTTGATCACCATATTCAGCATGTGCTAGTTTATCTGTCATTTTGTATATAAAAACATGAAATGGTCCCTGAGGTTCAAGATCAGAATTTATATCAATCTGAAATTAAAGCATCAGTTTTAAAATATTATAATCGAATATAAAATATTACATAAAAAATGAACGTACATAACCTCACATTAGTTTACGTAGTATAATTTTCTAATAATAATATAGAGAAACTTAAAAAGTAATTACCATTTTTAATAGAAAACCTTCAGATTCACAAACACTACAAAAATCATTCCAATTAAATTTCTGTCGCTTTTTTTCAGATATTGAGTAACCAATGACATACTTGTCGCACATTTTTTTTCGTGTTGTTTTCTTATATAGAATATAATTTTTATCCATTAAAGCGTATACAGTACATTATTTTAACAATCTTCTTAAGTATGCTATACTTTATTAATATGTTTTCTACGAGATTCTTATATCAACTAATTTCATATTTTTTCCAAAATGTAAGGTTATGTTTGAATCGTTTAAAAAATATTCGTTTACAATATTATTGTACTTTCTCTGGTTGTATACATTTTATATTCGGTTTGTAAAGGATATTCATTTTCTGAAATTTAAACTTCATGCACAAATAGAATTATTGTTATTTATTTTAAAATATATGATAAATGATCACAGGTTAGCGATATTACAATGACAAGCACATTCCACATTATTTATGCTTAATTACACGAAACTTATAATAATTCAATATATAATATAATTATCTAAAATTATAATTCTATTTACAATATTTTAGTAATATTTTTCATCATGTATTTATTGATTCTTTGAAGTCATAAATATTACAGAATATGTCACCGCCGTTGCATCTTCAATTGCAATATTTGCAATATACTTCATATTGATGATGAATGTAGCATGACGGATTTTTGATCAAATCAGCAATTTTAAATTTCTCCTATGCTTTGTGTAAGAGACTAAAAATAAATTAATAAAATAGTATAATTAAAAATATAATGAAATTAAAATTTACTTTTTTTTAATGAAGATTTATAATATTATAATAACATTTAAATTTAAATAATTTAATTTCTTATTTTCAATTTACATGATATTCAATTTTAATAATTCTAGTATATAATTATTTTATATATAGTATTTAATTTATAAATTATTTTACTTTTGAAGATTCATTCCAAGAAATTAACATTTCTTTTGTAATGTAAATAGGATCGTTTTTGTCAAAATCAACTGTGTTTTCTCCATCTGATTGATTTTTTGTCAACATTCGAACTTCTCCAAGAGAATATGAACTGGAACTTGGCATGTATAATTCTCCTTCAGATCGTGAAATATCGGATAAAATTTCGATCTAAAACAATAAAATGCAATTAATAGCAAATTAATAATTAATAAAAAATTAAAAGATTTTTTTGCATATGAAAAAAATTGAAAATTAATAAAAATGAACTAATTTATTTTTCTCGATTAATTGAATAATTAAATCAATTTTTCTTACCTTATTTGAATCTATCGTAGATATGCTAGATATACCATTAGATAATCTAAACATTCAGAAAAAAAATTTTTTTTAAATAATAATAATTAATAATATTTTTATAATAGTTTTTTTTAATTAATCAAAATAATTTTAAATATAATAATGATTGAAATAATAAAAAAGAAATTTGAATTTAAAAAACAATATTAAAAATTATTATATTATATTATATAAATTATTATATTATATTAATATGATTATTATTGTTTACCTATATTCTTGATTGAATAAATTCGAGTAATTGGTATCGATATATGTAGAACAAAATTTTTTGTCTAGATCATCATACACATTCGATAAAATCCTTTTCTTTTCCAATAGATTATATGAAAAATTATTTCTTATTTTATCATCGATTGCGACACTCGACTCAGTAATGTGCCTAAATTCGTTCATATTCTGTGAAAATTCTGGATTATTCGATGACGTTTTCGAAAGATTTTTTGACGAAGATCGAAGTGATATGCAATTATGCAAAGAATTAGATGATGAAATCTGTGAAAAATTATTATCAAATTGTTTATCATTTTTCTCTGTGTTCTTAATAGAATGTAATTCGACAAATTTTTCTTTTTTTAAATCAGGACTTTTATCAGAAATTTCAAAATCATTATGTTTAACATTTTCAGTTTTTTCATCATTTATTATCAATGATATTTTATTAATGCCATCTAAATTTGTATCTTCATTACGCAAATTTATTTTTTCATTTATATACATTGCATTATATTTTTTATTTTCATTTGATTCATCAACAATGTTCGATACAATTTTTGTAGAAATTAAATTTTCATTATTGATTTCCTTTCTTTGTATATCAATATCCTTCGAAATAATATTTTCATTATTTCTTTTAGAAATATTATTTATATTATCAGTTTCTGCATTTTTTTTTAAATCAATATTGAAATTTATTTTATCTACTTCTTCGTCTCGAATATTTTCATTTTTAGATTGCGATATACTTTGATTACATTTTAATTCATCTTCCGAATTAGGAATTGATTCAATGAGAATAGAATTTTTTCCATCAGATTTATTCAAAATATTTTCTCTCATTTCTCTAATTTCTCCGCAATATTTAATAGTTTCAACCGCGCTAAAATTTCCTTCACTTGGCAGATGTTCTAATTGCAAATCTTGTTTTTCACATCTCATTTTCTCGTCATTCGATTCCGTTTCTTCAACTATTTGTGCTATTTGAATTTCATTTGAACCTACATTATTCGAATCTTCGACATTTAGCAATTTCAAATTCTCAAAATTCGTCTCGTCGCTTTTCAAGTTTTTCAGTATCAATGGTACGATCTCATTTACGTTAAAAATATTCTTTATTTTATCCTCTATTAATCGCGTTTCTTCATGAAGAACGCGTGCGATTAAATTTCTCGAGCATCTCGCTTTCGGTACAACCTGTTTCAAAATATCCGAATAAACAATATTTTGCAACGTTTCAAAATTTCCTTCTTCAACCTCATCATCTTTATCATCATCTTTCAACGAATTTATCTTCAAAATTGTTGTCTTTTCGCGAATCTCGTCATTGATCAACGATTTTGAGATTTCTTCCGTTATTCTCGTGTCATTTCCGTTTTTCGTGTCAATACTGGAGGATTGAGGATAGTTAGAGGAAGCGGTAAGATTCGAGCTATCGTTTACAATTCGAAATAAACGTGTTTTGTGACGAGGAATTTGTTTTGAGGCATTAATTCCTATTGTTTTCCCATCTTTGCTAATATTTTCGTTAGATTCAGACGTTTCTTCTTGCGGGAATTTCTTCCAAACGCTCAATCGATCTTTCATTAACGAGTTCAATCTTGTTGGAAATTTATTCGAGATTTTTGGAGCAGCATACTTTTTTTTCGAATCGTGATCTTTTTTTGTAAATATTGTACTTTTAACCCGTTTCATTTTATTCACATCCCATTCTTTCCTAATATTTTTATTCGTCCCTGGTAATCGATCTTTAATTATTGAGTTTTTTATCTTCGATACCGTGCTTTGTTTGGTTCTCGATTCAGCTGAGCATTTCCTTTTTTTATAAATTTTTTCTTTGCTCAATGATACAGGATCAATCACTTTTTTACTGGTTTTTATCGTTGTTGTATCATCTATTTGATATTCCTCAAGTTCCGGTCGCGAAAGAAATTTATCGATCGTTTTCGTGGATTGAACGATATTGTCGATTATTTTATTATAAGAGGATAAAACACCATCCAGTTCCTCTACAGGAGGCTCGTACAGGGTGTAAAGTTCATCCGATTCTTCTGAATCTTCCGAGGAAATTATACTCAGAGACAAAATGTGATCAGAATTTTCTTTATCAATTTGCGACTTTTCGACTAGTTTCTCATCTTTGTCGCAATATTTTTTAACGATATTACTGAAACGTTTATCTATCTCCTTGTACCGTTCTTCCTCTTTCTCCGTTTTTCGTTTTTCACAAATCTCTTTGTGTCTTTTTTTGTTGATCTTGTATATTTCTTCAATTATGTTACTTGGTAATGGTAATTCATCATCATTTATTTTAGAATCTGCCAAAGATAAAGAATATTTAAATTTCTCGTTATTATCTTCTAAAATACGCGTTGAATCTTGTTTCAAATTTGAACATATTTCCTTTTCCTTTTCACGATTTCTCGGTTTCGAGATCTGTTCATCGAATCGTATTTGTTTCTGATCATTTTTGAAAGATATTTTTGAATTGTCTGCTTCTTCTTCCACAGTTTCATTCTCCGATTTAAGGTTTGAAATTTTCTGTATTGATTTATCGTTGGATTGCGTTAATTTAAGATTCATCGTTGATTCAAGATTTTCTTTTTTCTCAAGATTCTTCATTAACGATTCCTCTGTTTTATTTTCGATTAATTTTTCATTATTTTCCACGAAAACGCCGGAACACTCTTTCGATATAATATCTGTCCTCTCCAATTTTTCAGAAATTTCTGCTCCATTACCAATCTCATCGCCATCTTTCGAGCTTCCTTTCTTTGATTTCCCATTCGTCGATCTCATACTATTTTTACTATTACCACTATTATCATCCGATATCCTCACAACTTTCTCCTTCTTTCTAGGAGAGAATTCATTCTTTTTGCAAAAATCGTGACAAATCATATAAGTCCCAACATTTGGATTCTCTTGCACAAAAGAAGAATCCGGTGATATATGAATATTTTCCAAATTTTGTGTAATCAGTTCCCCTTTTATATTCACCGATGGACCAGCCTGAACAGTAAACGTGCTAATCTTTCTATCTTTCTCGTTTTCGTGTTTAGAGGAACGTATCCGATTCTCGTCTTTCTTCTTCTCGTTATTTTCGCGTGTATCACCCATAAAAGACGAAAGTCCGAATTTTTGAATATCGAGCCTTCTCTGCTGTGAGAATTCCTTATAACGATCGTCAGAAGTTTTGAATTTTGGCGCGGAAAGATCGACGATTCTCTTTGTCTTGGCCACGAGCTCCTCACGAGATGATTGTTGGCTTTCGATATCGATCCATCCATTCGCTTCTTGAAATTTAAACGCGACACGTTCACGGATGTATAATAATTGATCATTTTCGTCGTCGAGCGGCGCCTCATCTGTGTATCTGAAAAAGGTGTAATATTTTCTATTGATTTTGTCAAAAATATGGGGAATAGAGATGAATATTTTTAACGGAGTATCTTGACGCAATGAAAGTTTTGGGAAAAGTTCGAGCGACTCAAATAATCGAAAATGATCGGTTAACAATTTAATGTGGATAAAGGGGTTAATAGAATATCTCAATGTGTATTATGACAATGCTTCTTTATGTATTATTGGTATAATCAATAGATATCGAAAAATATAGAGAGAAATGTTTGGTAATATGGTTATTGTTCGGTAATATAAAGAAAAACTTGTTTTTTATATATATTTTTCAAAGAATATATATATTTGCATATTGCATGTCTATATATATTCTATATCTCTTTATATTCTTTTAGCAGTTTCTAAAAATATGATAAAAAATATTTTAAAATATTATCTAAAAAGACAACTACTATAAGATAGTATAAAAGACAAGTAACAAAAATATTTTATTTTAAAAAGACAAGTACAATAAAAGTAAGTATACTTATTTTTCATAATAAGAATTAAGTAAAATATTGAAAAAGAAAAAAACAAGTGATAGTTCCTGCCAATTCATGAGTTTAAAAAGTATTTAAAAAATAAATGTAAAAAAAGTAAGCAGATCAATTTTTAAAATCAAAAGATATGTGTTGCATGCCACCATCACGGAATTTCGACCTTAATCTTTTTTTTTAAATATCTCGTTTATTCTTCATAATATTAAAAAATGCTAATATTAAAAAAATTGTTGAAAAATTTTCTAGATATACAAAAAATGAATACTATAATAGGTCAATATGTGGAAATAAATATTTTAAAGATAAAAATAGATAAGTATAAAAATTCGGACTGAATTCAGTTATCATACCGCCCCCGCTGGGAGTTTCACTCCAATTTTATCAGCGGGGGCTGCGGGACCGCCATTGACACGGGTGGGGGGCCCAAAGGCGGTTCCAAGAGGCGGTAACGCCGGTGTGGCCCCGGCGTTGCCGAAAGCATTTCGGGGGGCACTGTCACTCGCCCCACCAAGAAATGCCGATAACAAAGAGCGCGTGGAGAACACCGGAACATTTCAGTAAGAGTTCCGCTGTTCTCGAACGCGCTAGATCAGGTCACCGTGGGGGTTTTAGCCGGTAAGAGTCCGGCACTATCTCGGTTACCTTCCCCAAGGAGACTGAGATGTCCTATGAGGATTTCCCCCACGTAAAAAAAAAAAAAAAAAAGATAGAAAACTAGATAAAAATTCTAAAATCAAGATATATAAGGAACACTTTAGGTGTCACACATTGACAACATATATGTTTTTGTTAAAGAATTGAAAAAGTCAAAATTTGAAATTACTTCTAAATAGAAAAATTCCAGGAATTGGAATTTATAAAAATGTTCGATGTAAATTTTAATAATTATGTCCTAAAAAAAATCATATTTTTAGTTTCTATTATTATGCAAGTATTAGCAAATTCATATAATTTTTAGGATCATTTCGCAAATTTAGAGATTCCAAGACGTCATTTCTCGGAAAAATTTTTCGATCGACCTCCTATCGTATCATGTTCTCCTAATACAAAGTCGACTTTTTGGACAAAAATTTTTCTATCGCTCAGGGAATTTGAAACTTAACCTTTTTACTTGAATATCTCGTTTATTTTTAATAATATCAAAAAATGCTTCGAATAAAAGTTGAATGGCGTCGAAAGGGCTATATTCTGGTGACCTCAGTTTTTTCGTAGG